CATGAAGAAGAGGGGACACATGTTGATGTAGAAGAGACGTGAAGAAGAGGGGACACATGTTGATGTAGAAGAGACGTGAAGAAGAGGGGACACATGTTGATGTAGAAGAGACGTGAAGAAGAGGGGACACATGTTGATGTAGAAGAGACATGAAGAAGAGGGGACACATATTGATGTAGAAGAGACATGAAGAAGAGGGGACACATGTTGATGTAGAAGAGACATGAAGAAGAGGGGACACATGTTGATGTAGAAGAGACATGAAGAAGAGGGGACACATGTTGATGTAGAAGAGACATGAAGAAGAGGGGACACATGTTGATGTAGAAGAGACATGAAGAAGAGGGGACACATGTTGATGTAGAAGAGACATGAAGAAGAGGGGACACATGTTGATGTAGAAGAGACGTGAAGAAGAGGGGACACATGTTGATGTAGAAGAGACATGAAGAAGAGGGGACACATGTTGATGTAGAAGAGACGTGAAGAAGAGGGGACACATGTTGATGTAGAAGAGACATGGAGAAGAGGGGACACGTGTTGATGTAGAAGAGACATGGAGAAGAGGGGACACATGTTGATGTAGAAGAGACATGAAGAAGAGGGGACACATGTTGATGTAGAAGAGACATGAAGAAGAGGGGACACATGTTGATGTAGAAGAGACGTGAAGAAGAGGGGGACACATGTTGATGTAGAAGAGACATGAAGAAGAGGGGACACATGTTGATGTAGAAGAGACGTGAAGAAGAGGGGACACATGTTGATGAAGAAGAGACATGGAGAAGAGGGGACACATGTTGATGAAGAAGAGACATGGAGAAGAGGGGACACATGTTGATGTAGAAGAGACATGGAGAAGAGGAGACACATGTTGATGTAGAAGAGACATGAAGAAGAGGGGACACATGTTGATGTAGAAGAGACATGAAGAAGAGGGGACACATGTTGATGTAGAAGAGACATGAAGAAGAGGGGACACATGTTGATGTAGAAGAGACATGGAAGAAGAGGGGACACATGTTGATGATAGAAGAGACATGGAGAAGAGGGGACACATGTTGATGTAGAAGAGACATGGAGAAGAGGGGACACATGTTGATGTAGAAGAGACATGAAGAAGAGGGGACACATGTTGATGTAGAATGAGACATGAAGAAGAGGGGACACATGTTGATGTAGAAGAGACATGAAGAAGAGGGGACACATGTTGATGTAGAAGAGACATGGAAGAAGAGGGGACACATGTTGATGAAGAAGAGACATGGAGAAGAGGGGACACATGTTGATGTAAGAAGAGACATGGAGAAGAGGGGACACATGTTGATGTAAGAAGAGACATGGAGAAGAGGGGACACATGTTGATGTAGAAGAGACATGAAGAGAGGGGACACATGTTGATGTAGAAGAGACATGAAGAAGAGGGGACACATGTTGATGTAGAAGAGACATGAAGAAGAGGGGACACATGTTGATGTAGAAGAGACATGAAGAAGAGGGGACACATGTTGATGTAGAAGAGACATGAAGAAGAGGGGACACATGTTGATGTAGAAGAGACATGAAGAAGAGGGGGACACATGTTGATGTAGAAGAGACATGAAGAAGAGGGGACACGTGTTGATGAAGAAGAGACATGAAGAAGAGGGGACACATGTTGATGTAGAAGAGACATGAGAAGAGGGGACACATGTTGATGAAGAAGAGACATGAAGAAGAGGGGACACATGTTGATGTAGAAGAGACATGAAGAAGAGGGGACACGTGTTGATGTAGAAGAGACATGAAGAAGAGGGGACACATGTTGATGTAGAAGAGACATGAAGAAGAGGGGACACATGTTGATGTAGAAGAGACATGGAGAAGAGGGACACATGTTGATGTAGAAGAGACATGGAGAAGAGGGGACACATGTTGATGTAGAAGAGACATGAAGAAGAGGGGACACATGTTGATGTAGAAGAGACATGAAGAAGAGGGGACACATGTTGATGAAGAAGAGACATGGAGAAGAGGGGACACATGTTGATGTAGAAGAGACATGAAGAAGAGGGGACACATGTTGATGTAGAAGAGACATGAAGAAGAGGGGACACATGTTGATGAAGAAGAGACATGGAGAAGAGGGGACACATGTTGATGTAGAAGATACATGTAGAAGAGGGGACACATGTTGATGTAGAAGAGACATGAAGAAGAGGGGACACATGTTGATGTAGAAGAGACATGAAGAAGAGGGGGCACATGTTGATGTAGAGGAGACATGAAGAAGAGGGGACACATGTTGATGTAGAAGAGACATGAAGAAGAGGGGACACATGCTGATGTAGAAGAGACATGAAAAAGTGCATTTTCTCGAAAACTGTACATGTCTTGTGTCCATGCAACACGTTCTCACTCCCAACCCGTCACATGTTGACGGTCGGTCAGGGCCCCTCCCCGTCACACTATTACGGACAGGGTACCCCTTGAGTCAGTTTTCAACGGGCAGGGCGTCCCATTGACCTTCATAGACCTCCCATAGCGTTGATAATAGACGTCATGAGAACGCTCCCCGACGGTCGGTTGTTATTATCAATATTAATATAATAATGATTTATTTTGTAATAGTCACACTCGATTTCACCGATTTTCTTGTTGCCCCAGCCGGTCGCCACCTCTTTTAGCAGTAAATGATTGCGTTGCCAGGCAACGCAATCATTTACAAACTCTTCAACTACAACCCTAATTATATTTAAAAACATTTTAGAAGGCCTCACAAAATACTTTAATGTAAATTTAAATGTAAATGTGAAGGGATGTGTGTAATGTGGTGATTGACATTATTCACCCACGGATCTATGGGTTGGGGTATTGTTCCGCACGGACATTTTAGTTAACCGGACTTCCTGTTGATGTGAAATCCGAAAACATTTTTTAAAAATAAAATAATACTTTATTCCGAGTGTTCTTGCTTTTCTCTTTGAAAGTCATCACATAACGGCATTGAAATACACGGTTCGGCTGCATTACATATTACATATCTGCCGTAGTTCTCTATAGAGCCCTGATGAGAAGACTTCTAGACAAACAGGAAGAACTGCCGCCGAAACTGAATATGTGACGTCGATCATAAATATATAAATTAAACAAAATCTTCAATTTCTTTTCACACAATACGTCTCCTTGCAGTATCAACACTAAATCGGCTGACTTTTATATCTGATCCAATTGGTAGATAGGCTGTATTTACACCATAAAGGTGCACAGCTGATATAAAGGGACACCTGGTGGTTAAAGCACGTTATTGAAATGTATTATTTTTAGTATTAGATATTAATAGGAGACACAGACAGACAAACTAATAAGGCTTTATTTAAACATTAAAGAATACTTTAGGTTAAGGTCTTATTTTGAATAAGAAAAAAGCTTTGGGGGTATAAATATTAAGCCTGACAAAGTACTAATATATTGCTTTCCTGCAATGTTAACTACTGTATGTTTAAGCACTTATTTTAACTGATATTATACATATGTATTATACTCTTATAAGATGTATGTAGATAGTATAAGAAATGTGCAGAATACGACAGTTTAATGGTGGAGGTACACACATATTGATAGATGTCTTGTAATGCACTGTTGAGGAACCTGCGACCCAAGTTTTTCATCTCCGACCTTGTCAGGTATTGAACATTCAATAAATAAAGAACACAGAATTATTAAATATAAAACACAGAATTTGTGTGATTATACTAAATGATTTACAAATAAACACCACTGCATATTTAACTGTTACACATGCTGATGTAACGCAAATGTTCCAACTTGGGATCAATAAAGTATATCTTATCTTAAGCTGATCGATGGCTACTGCCATATTTGCCTCTGAACCTTGAGAAGTGCATGTTTCAGGCTTATCAATGAACAACAGGAGGGGTCACAGACATAAGACCCGCTGTTAAATAAAGCTCTTCTGACCTTAGCTGGCATGTGTGTGTATATATATTAATGCTGCCCATTATGGGCACAAGCCATTTTCACCCATTTATTAATTATATGTTTTACATTTGAGTGTTTCCTACCCCCTAAACCTCCAGGGATGTACACAGTTTAATACTGGCAACTTCTTATTATGGGAAATACGAAAACGTCTTTTAAAACTACAACTCCCAGTAGAGACGTGCCATAGATACAGAACATGTTGCGAAACAGAATAGCCAGCATGTGTAGTTCTGGGGACGGGGTGGGGGAGGGGGGGGGGAGTGGGGACGCGGTGGACCCGTTCAAATCCAGTTTGGACAGTCTGCCGTGGTTCCATCCCATTTCAAGTGCTGTTCGACGCTCGGCGTAACCCTCGGAGAACACTCAAACATCCAATCACAGAGCTCGAGGACTATCACGGGGTTTGTCAAGCGAAGCGGAGAGAATACTTACTTCCGGGTGTAAAATTCTCTAAAGCAACTACTATGAGCTGCTCCGACCCTCGGTCCTGACGGACTCCAACTTGTGTTTATTAATCAAACAAATAAATAAACACAACAGTGTGTGGTTTAGAAAATAATACAAAATTAGATGGAAAAAACGATGAAACAATACAGATTTCAGTTTTCTGTGCCCCTACTCTCCCCATAACTGACGGCAACAAAAGTCCTACATTATTCAATTAAAATAAAGAAGTAAAAACAATAAGTGTGGCTTGATATTGAGTTAGAAGAAGGTTGATAAACGCTGTGAGAATGGATCTGCGGAGAGCATTTCGCCGCGATCCCAACTCGTCTATTACCAACGTTCAGGGAGCTCTATGCAAGTCAATGGGACGCCCTGCCCGTTGAAAATGGACTCTCAAGGGGTACCCTGTGCGTAATAGGGTGACGGGGAGGGGCCCTGACCGCCCGTCAACATGTGACGGTTGGGAGTGAGAACGTGTTGGTCCATGAATGCAGTAAATCTCATAATTCATCCATATGCAGTAATAGTAGTGGTTTTCGTTAATGCTTCTTCCCTTTGTGTCCCTGCAGGTTCTCTACCTGATCTTCACAATCGTGCTCCTCTTCTGGGCCTGTTTCCTTCCCTTCTGGATCTGGCAGCTCCTGGGTCAGTTCCACCCGTCCCTATCTCTCTCCCCTAAAGCCAAGCGCAACATCAACTACCTGACCACGTGTCTGACGTACTCCAACAGCTGCATCAACCCCTTCCTGTACACGCTGCTCACCAAGAACTACAAGGAGTATCTGAGGAAGCACAAGCGCTCGTGGTCCGCCGGCAGCTACTTCAGCCGCAAGAGTCGATTCCAGCGTTCGCCGCGCAGGTCGCCGTCTTCCAGCAGCCAGCAGTGCACCGAGAGCTTCAGGCTCACACACACTGCCTCGCTGAGGACACACAACAGCAGCTTGTAAAGGTAGGAGGAAGCTTTTCTGGCTGTGTTCGTTAGCTAAAATCTAACTAATCTAAATACCAGATCGAATGCACCCTGAAGGCTCTTTGAGCATCGCTCACTGATCCTGCTGTTATGTTCAATGTTTGTTGTTTGTTTTTCATGTATTGATATTTGTCTGTTGATGTTACACATGGAGCTGCCGTGAGTGTTCGTCCACCAATCAGTAGTTCCCTTCCAACTTCCTTGTTAGCTTACGCGATATGAAGCTTGACATGTCTGACTCAGACTAAATCAGCACAAAATGATATCCTGTGCTGATGCATTGATTACATTGTGTTGAACATGTTTCAATAAAGCTAATCAGATTGTGGTCACTTCATGATGTCATAACGATGTTTTGGCTTGTGTAACCATTAGCCAATCAGCAACCAAGGTAACCCCCCCCCCCCCCCTTATCACCTGAACCTCCTCTAGAGCACCATTGAGTTCTTTGTAACCAAATGTCTCTCAGAGGGGCGTGGGGAGGGGCTCCTTATTTTCATCTAAAGTAACAGACAGAGAATCAGCACTTTGGAAACAGGGCTGAAACAGAGCGGATTATGGGTAATGCTGCAATGATCTGTTTGGTGTTCCAGCCAATCAGAGACAGGTTATCTGAGACTTGTGATATATTGATGAGAAACAGTATGATAGTCAAAAGTCAAAGTCAACTTTATTGTCAATCTCAAAATATGTTTGTGCGCAGAAAGATCGAAATACCTTTTAAGGGTCGCAAGGACTAGAGGAGTGCTTTAGAAATTCAGTCTATTTACAATGAACCTCCTCTCTAAACACAGCTCAGTCCTGCAGCTATTCTCCCATCTTAATACACTCCAGCTTCCTAACGTGGATGTTTCAGACCGGGAGGCTTTGTTGGCGTTTTCTATCAGAGGAACTGCTGGTTCTGCTGTGATTATAGATTGCATAGATTTCTGAGTATCTTGAAAGAGGACTGTTTAGGGTTTCTACTTCCTGTTATGCAGGGCTTAGACAAGTGGTGCCTCTCTTGGTGTTTATGTATGGAACTGGGTGAGCTGGTGAAACATGTTCAGAAACAATAAATATTCAATGGAAAAGTTTCAGCACAGCAACGAGAGTCTGTCAATACACTTTGTGTGGTTTTCAGGGAACGAGCTTTCCTCCAGGGAGCTCAACGTGTGAGTAAATCAAACCAAATGTTAATTAGAGATGACATCGGCTGGATCTCACTTCGGTTAAATGGATTCCTTGCGTCCTTCACTTGCGTCGTTTCCCTGCGACTAGTCCCTCCCACCAGGGAAGCATGGAGAGACGCAAGGAAACCACGAGAAGCAGGGAAATGAGTTTTAAGAGCAATGGGACGTAGTTTTGATGACGCCGCTCAGCTGATCGTCTGACAGCAGCCAGATCAGTGCATGCTCCATCGTCCAATCAGTGAGCGATACACAGTAAGGGGGCGGGGCGAGTGTATGAGGATTTCACCGGAGGATGGTCTGGTAGTTCCTCGATTATCGCTCCTCCGTTATCACTAGGGTTGGGTATCGTTTGAAATTCCACGATTCTGATTCCGATTCTACTTTTCGATTCCGGTTCTTAACGGTTCTCAATTCCGATTCTTTGAGGGGCAGGGTAAACAAATGATACATGCTTCTTCCACCAAAACAATTACATTTATTCGAGAAACTTTTACACAGGTTAGTTTCCAGTAATATTCATATTAATCAGTCTGTTTATATTCACTGCTATGTAACTGTACCTGAGAACCACTGAAGCTACAACAGTGCAACATTTAATGGAAACCCAACGCTACGGTACAACGCTACATTTCCCGCCCCGCCGCAGTCATACAGTAGGCTACGGAGAGCGGCGAGAAACATTTCCTCAGGCATCGAAAAGCGGAACCGAAATTCACATTTCTAAATGATGATGTTGGAATCGAAATGTTGGAACCGGTTCCGAACCGGAACCGGTTCTCGGTACCCAACCCTAGTCATCGCTCCTCGGTCCTCCAGCAAAAATAAGGCCACTGGGACGCTACTCAAGATGGCGCAGACAAATCCACTTCCGGTGAGACCGAGACCGAGGAGTGAGGAAATGAAAAATAAGAGAAGTGAGACGCACCCACAGTTCCATCTTTATGTGCATGGAGAGGATCATCAATTATCACAAGTATCTGATAGATCTTCTATTAAGGTCACTCTTGATTTCTTGATGGCACTATACCGCTGAGGTTAGACCATATATTACACATTCAATCAACATTTGAGCTGTAGCTAATAAGGATGAATTATAATTGGTATGAGTCAATAAAAGTGATTTTTGTCTGGGTCTTTGAAGCCTTTCCTCAAAGCAGGATGACTTGTTCGATGATAGGATAATAATAAAGAAAATATTCCATTTATTATTTAGTTTTTGTCTGGAATATTAGAAACAAATACAAATGCTTTTCCCTTGATGTCTTAAAATAAGTTGTAATAGTATTAAAATGAAACCAGAAACATCTCGTCTTTTGCTTTTATTATTTTATTGTTATTATTGCATTGACTATCGTTCCTTAAACATTATTATAAGCTTGTTTTGGTAACATCTCATGGGATCGAGGGGTCGTAACGATGTCTGTTAAACTACAAATTGATTGAAAATAACAACAATTGAAATTGCAAAGACACTTGCAGTGAATCATGCTGGATGTTTGAGCTTACATTACATTTTTAAATGCACGTCCCCTCGAGGTATTAAACCTAATGTATTGTTTGTTCTGCAGTGATACCAGTTTGTGTTTCTAATTTACATAAACATAACAAATAAGGAATTCAACAGACTTTACATTCTACATTTTGTGCCAATCACATTTCCACTTCTCAATTATGTTAACTATTATCCCTCGAATATCTCCTGCTTTTAAAACTTAAAATGTATATTCTTAATAGTTGTTTAAATGGCCTCAATGGTCCCTTTTCTTTCTAGTTTTGGTAAACCCATCAATAATTAGATAAGAGTAATTGTACTCATTATTTTGGGTTAATTTAGCAGCGTGTAATGATTTGTTATTACAAACAATTGCTGCTATCATCGGTTATTGTAATACTGTAATTGGGATGTTTGAATTGTGTTAGACAACTGATTTTCTTTGGTTTTATTCTAGCTTTTCTTTGCAGAATCACTAAATGCCAACCTGCTTGCATTACAAAAGTAATTAGTATATTATGTATATAATTGTATATATTGTTGTGTATTTATAGATGTGTTTCTGCACCTGTCGGGGTTTTTGGATGTGGGTTTGAATGTGGCGTGCAGAGGAAGCCGAATATAAAAGTGCAGCAGAGAGGAACGAAGGCAGGGGAGAAGGCTGGACACACACACACACACACACACACACACACACACACACACACACACACACACACACACTTGCCACTAACTTGCCACTTAGAGTTGGGTTGCACTGCACAGCCATAAATCTGTCATGCAAGCCAGCTGACACACAACAGAGAGGACTTTTCTGCACACGGTGACATCTGCTAGAATAATAGTTAAAAAAACGTGGATCATAAATAAATCCAGCGCGGCACAGCAGGACGGTATGCGTTTATCGTTTTCCCCCCATAACCTCATCAATGACTCTAGACTGTTTTATGTCAGCAATAATATCACTTTTCATTCCAATGCATCCCACAAGATGGAAAAAGAAAGGAAAAATCCAATATTTACTACCCAGTTCAAAACTTCGCACTCAGCTAATAGTACTCTACCCCTTGATTGTGTAGTGTGTGTGTGTGTGTGTGTGTGTGTGTGTGTGTGTGTGTGTGTGTGTGTGTGTGTGTGTGTGTGTGTGTGTGTGTGTGTGTGTGTGTGTGTGTGTGTGTGTGTGTGTGGTGTGTGTGTGTGTGTGTGTGTGTGTGTGTGTGTGTGTGTGTGTGTGTGTGTGTCCAGGATGCCTGCAGAGACACAGTAACAGTGAGTCGTATTTTACTGCTCTGCCTTGGAATACAATGTGCTGAGTGACATCGACCATGATTCACACGGACAGGGAATATGGCCCCCATATGTGCCTCTGAACCATAGACTGTATACGAGCAGTATTTCTCCAGCACTGTGACGGTAACAATAAGTATAAAGGATTCTGGTTTGAAACGATGTCATAAAAACACCGTATCTGATTCAAGGAATATGTTTTTACCGTTTTACCTGGAAGTTAATGCAAGCTAGCATCCACGAAAAGAGGAGAGATTTTGATCTTGCTACCGAGAAATGAACCTCCCAGTGTGTCCAATTTCTTGTTGTTGGCTGCATTCACAATAATGCAAAAACGCACTATTTTCCTTGCTCTATACTTAGCTTCCTCCCTTATCTGTCGCTTCCTCTGAGCTCCTAAAATACAGATTACTGACTCTGTTTTCGTTTGTCAATTCCCCGATGCCATTTTCGTCCGTACACAGAAACAAGTCCTGATTTGGTCAAGACATGTCAGCTTTTTCCAGAAGAAAAGCAACAACATCGCTTTATCTGCTTTTTTAAAATATATATCCAAAATGGTGGGAAACGCTTGAGTTCAGTATTAATGTAAACAAAGCCTTATCTTTCTTGCTAACGTTAGCTAACGGTCAGCCTACATTTAGGAATCAGCATATCTTTTGCCTGGTTCACGTCTGGCTTTTACCCTACTCCCCTAAAACGGAGATGTGTGAAACACAGCTGAGTCTGATTTAGTTGTAAACTGTAGGCACACAGATACAAAATCATTACTGAATAGGTATAACAAGTGAAGACTGTTCCTTTTCAGGAGCAAACAAACAGTATTGGTCTTAAATATTTCAAAAATGGCACTAAAACGCTTGATATGAATGTGGACGAAGCCTTAGCTTAATTGCTAACGTTGGCTAACGGTTAGCATGGGGAGATTTCGAAGATGGCACTAAAACGCTTGAGTGCAAAACATTCATGTGGACCAGTGCTTCTCAAAGTGTGGTCCGCGGACCACTGGTGGTCCGTGAGCGCCCCCTAGTGGTCCGCGGGTATATTGGTAACATTTCACATTTGAAATAAATAAATAAATGTAAGTTTTCCGCACTCTCGCGGGAATATCTCAGCAATGGAGTGGGGTTAAGTTTCACTTTCGATTGCATGATATAGCCCAGCGCAACACCTTCATCAAACATGTTGCCACTTGTTTGTACAATTTTCAGGCGATTTGTAATCTGTTCTAGAAAAACGATGTGATTTTGGATATTTGTGGAGTTAGGTGGTCCGCAAGTGTTTTTTTATTGGTTAAGTGGTCCTTGGTATGAAAAAGTTTGAGAAACACTGATGTGGACGAAGCCTTAGCTTAATTGCTAACGTTAGCTAA